TTATTTTCGTGGTTACACAGCTAAAGTCTTGTAAAGGATTTGTTATTTTCGTGGTTACACAGCTAAAGTCTTGTAAAGGATTTGTTATTTAAGTGGTTACACAGCTAAAGTTTTGTAAGGTATTTGTTATTTTAGTGGTTACACAGCTAAAGTCTTGTAAAGGATTTGTTATTTAAGTAGTTACAATACATCTCGGTATAGTAACAACAATATATCTACAGTTTTCTTGTATTTAGTCCGTGTCCCTCCGGTGGAAAGTCCTACTATTTATTAAATAACAAATGTAACTCCTAGTACAATAGATTTACATTTTATTGAAAATACATCACTATACTCATCAACAACAAACACACGAATTGGTTTAATTATGTTTTTGTTATTTTAGAGCACATTGATACTTTGGTATACAATCGTACAACTAAGAACCTTTCGCAATGTGACAAAAAAGTTATGTTTAAGAACTACCTGAGATTGTATTATAATACGTTGTTCATAACCCGTAGAAATAAGAAAATAAAATGATAATTTTCTTTTAAAGCCTAAAAACATTCCTAAATGGTTTGGGTTTGTTTTGAATTTCGCGCAAAGCTACACGAGGATTATCTGCGCTAGCCGTCCCAAATTTTGCAGTGTAAGACTAGATGGAAGGCAGCTAGTCATCACCACCCACCGCTACTATTTTATCAACAAATAGTGGGATTGACCGTAACATTATAACGCCCACACGGGGCGACATTCCTAAAGAACACGAAAAGCTCCTGTTTACCTGTGTGCCTTCTGTTCCAACTCGGGAATGTAGAAACTTCTAGCTACCTGTCGGATTCCAATGCAGTTTTCTGGTCTCAAGTTTAAAATCAGAAAGTCAGAGCAGTATTTCACAATGCCCATGACATTGAACTGGTCAGCTGAAGGTAAGAGTTCTTCTACGTTTTCCCAGGAGACATCGGTCGTTCTTGTATATGCATATTCTATGATAAGGCTCAACATCTCAGAAGATATGCCAGGAATCAGAATGTTACGTCTTTCCTGAACATGTAAAGTGGTTGTGAATAGAGTCCTAAAATAGGGGCTACAAGCCGACATTATGGCCCTATGAACCCTAAATTCCCCTCCATCTGATGTTCTGAGAATAGCATCGCAAAGTTCCCCCTCACGACGCATTTCGTACAAAGCTTGCAAAGCTTGCAAACTGTAAGTACGCTCCATCAGATAAAGAGATTAAAAAATTTATCTTCGTTCTTTTTTCTATCGTTAGGTTTTTGTATTGGCGTGTATAAAAAAAAAACACTCGAAGGCTCGGAAGAGCCCAGCCCCTTCTATTTTCCCGATCTGTCCATTGTATTTGATTTTTGTATTTCTATTTTGTGGTAAGTTCCTATGGTAACTGAAGTCAACAAACAATGGCTACACTTAATATATGCATTGTATTATTGGATATGTTCAAGAAGCAATAATGACTCATCAACAATACACGTAGTAGGGTTACATTTATTTTTATCATAGTTCACCTGAGATTTTTAATTGATAAAATAAAAAAGGACAGTTAGTAACGAAAACATATGATGAAATATCGTGCTATTCGCAACAATATATATATATATATATAGTATTAATTATATTGTTTTGTATGCCAGATACACACGCAACGTTTGATAAGTTATGCCATTTATAAATATATATATATAGAAATAAAAAGGTTTACTCTTGACTAAGGTACAAAATGTGTTTTTTTTTGTAGGATATTTCTAGAATTTAGTGTTTATAAGAACTGTTACATTGTTCTTCCAACAACAATCTACGTAAATATATAACGTGTGGTTAAAGTAAATGTCAAAGCTTTGGAATTGGTTGATATTTATTAGCAACATATACTTAAAATATAGCATAAAGCAGAAACATTGGGTCTAACATGAGTTAGGTATTGTAATTTTCCTTTGAAGATTAAACGTATATATGGCAGGGTTTATTTTTAACGTGCAGTAGACCCATACATGTGCAGTACTAAAATTTATAGTAAAAACTCCAATGTCATATAAAGAAACAAGAAGCCAATGCATGGACCATGATACTGAAAAGCAAAAGTACCTTTATTTACTGTTTATATGACAAGAAGTATATTTTTAATTTTACATATGTTGATTAGAACTTTGTTTTACAATTTTTGTCAAATACTAAGATGGTTAAAACACTGTGTTTATATGACAAGAAATATATTTTTAGTCTTACATATGCTGAATTGTACTTTAATTTACATTTTATGTCAAACACTACATGGTAAAAGATGGCTAAAACAGTAAAACTTTCACAAATTCAAGATTTGCAAATAATGCCAAGTTGTATCTAGCATATAATATAAAAACAAATGCTTCTCAGACTCAGAGAATCTCAAACATTGGGTCATGGCACCTGCCTCAAAGATTTGTGCAGTTCTAAAATTTCCTTAAAATAAACCATGAATTATAGCCTAGTTTGAATTGAAAAAAAAATATAATTAACATCATATGAGACTAGTAATATAAGGTTATATTTTACAATGAGATACAAATTTAAAGACAAACAAATATTGATGCTGTCACGTGAGATTCATCAACTTACTGAACTTGTTATTATGTAATACAGCAACTAGAACAACTTACTGAACTTGTTATTATGTAATACAGCAACCAGAACAACTTACTGAACTTGTTACCATGTAATACAACAACCACAACAACTTACTGAACTTGTTACCATGTAACACAGCAACCAGAACAATTTACTGAA